AAAAGTGGCGTATTTTTTCTCAGTTTTTGACAATAGAAAAATTGCTTCCGTTTGCACAAACAAAGTGTGATTGGCTCAAAACTTGAATCCATGGTTCAACTCTTGGATCTAGGTCATCTGAAAGTTTAAATTTTGAAATTGGCTCTATAGCGCCACCTACAACAGCCAATTTAAAAATGCCTATGGGATGGGTTCGAGGTCAAAATTGTCGTAGAACCATGTAATTTGGTACACATGTTCCTCAAGTCAAGCCATGCAAAATTTTTTATTGTGGCTAATCCTTCTGACAAACAGGAAGCTCATAAATTTCATTGCAAAATGGAAAAATGAAAACCAATCATTTTCATACATGTCGGTTGGAAAGCGACTCCTCCTCGGCCGTTTCACCGATTGGCCTCAAAATTGCTCCAAATTATCTCAACACATGTACCTTCAAAATGACTTCAGGGAATTTTAATCAGTGAAACGTTGTTTGAGCAGCGGAGCGGCAAAATGTGAGGTATTTTTTGGCAGTTTTTGATAACATTAATTTTTTTTCCCTTTTGCACAAATCAAGTCTGATTTGCATTAAACTTGAACGCATTGTTCAACTCCAAGGTTTAGGTCAGGTGAAAGTGAAATATTTGAAATTGGCCAATTAGCGCCCCCTACAGACTGAAGCAAAGTTTACATGGGGAGCCGAATCAGTTCTACTTATCATATTCATTACAATTTGACTAACAATCTTCTATGGCTACGGGAACAAATCATCACATGGCGGCGCCACGTCCTTTTTGCGGTGCTGCGTGGTACGGTGTGGTGCGGCGTAGCGCGGGGCGTTGTGGCTTGGCGCGGTGCGGCGAGGGCCGTTTGACGCCGCTTGCGGCTTTAATTTTCTTTTGGACTCACATACGCATTTGTGAGGAGTTAGATGAATAAACATAAGTCCACTGCCAAGAACTATACTTATTAAAGTATTAGAGGGCGGCACGGTGGCTCAGTGGGTAGCACTCTCGCTTCTCAGAAAGAGGGTTCTGGGTTCGAATCTCTGTCAGAAAAGGGCCTTTCTGACCAGTGATGGGAATAACAGTGTTGAATTAAACGCTGTTACTTTTTTCAGTAACTAGTAATCTAACTAATACTTTGACTGTAACTAAAACCCCGTTATCATCGCCGACACCCCGTTACTGCACGTTACTCTAGTCTCACAATGACCTGTTTGCCCACTCCCCCTGCTGGGCCCCCTGCTGGGCCCCCTGCTGGGCCTCGTGAGTTCACTCTCTCCAGTCTACCACTGCTACAGGACCGCAGCCCCACACCGCTTATTTTACACGGCTTGATTGTGTGTTGCAGGCCGAAGCGTGCTGCCTGCTCTACGGTGACTGTCCCCCGGGTTAGCCCTGTCTGTGTTGGGCATTGTTGGGCGGTGCTGTGTCCATTCATTTGGGCAACAGCGCTGCTGAGGGATTGGCCGCTGGTATCCGCGACTTGGGTCGGCCCGTGCGCTGCTTTGCCCACTTTTCCACCTTGTTGCTGAATTATTGTCCTTTATCTGTTCTGCTACTTCCCTCTAATAATCTATTCTGCTCCCCACCTCCTCTATTGCCCCGTTCACATTATTCCAGCGGCTGTAGGTGCTGGAGCCGCGCTCAGCGCACTGTATTTTCCCTCGTTGTGGTTTGTCAGGCGCGAAGGATGCTGAACGGAGGGGTCGTGTGAGTATGTGGAAGCTAATTATTTTAAAATTGTTTCTTTCAATTGTTTCAAAAGTTTTATAATGTGTTTTGTTCGATCAATGTATAAAAATAAATGCAATGTAATTTAAATGGAACCTTGGCTGTATTATTACTTACCTGTGTGCTTTGCAGCACAGTTCACTATACTAACATATAATACTAATACTAATACTAAAATAGGGTGGCGTTGTTGCAACAATTAATCTACTAGAAACTGTAAGTTTATGAGTTAAGTGACATGTGGGAGGAGCCAGAGGTGTTTAAGAGCAGGCCAGTGTCAGCCTCAGTGTGAGTCTGAACTGGGACAGAGGACGTACGCCAGAAGACCTTTTGAAACGTTTTCTTTTCTTGTGTGTAAATATTGTAAATATGTTTTTTAATTACTGTTTTGTTTCTGTACAGCACTCCTCTTCCTTATTTTTGTTTCATTACTTATTACTTATTCGGCATTTTTGGGAATAAAACCTTAAAAAGTACTCTGGCTGCGCCATCCTTTTTATTTCACATTCAGAACCCCGTCACATCTTCACAATTTTTTTTTTCTTTTAATAAAAAATGAAAACAGACCCGAATACCACACAATAAAAAAAAGTGTGTCCTGTTTCTCGGAGCACTTTATAACCCGCTCCCTTAAGAGCATGAGTCACAGGTGCTTTGACGACTCTTACACAACCCTCTGTGCAGCTCATCTATGGCACATTTAGGAACATTTCTGCACAGTGCTCCCAAAGGACCAACCAGGCAAGGCAAGATTATCTGTATAGCACAGTTCATACACAAGGAAACAAAAGCAGGAAAAAAAGCCATCACACAAGGCATCAATAATCACATACAAAAATTACCTTCCTCAGAGTCAGCGTTGGTCCGTACTGTACGTGTTTGTTACTACTGCATTTCCTGGGTTGGATCTTTTTGATTCTCTGATCTGGTGTTGGTGAATCTGCAACTTTGTAAAGACCTCGGAGACGACTGCTGCTGTGGTTTAGGGCGAGACAGAACATTGAATCTGTGAGAAGCACATGGGCTGTATCCAGAGTCATACAAATACGCCTTTCTTTCTTCTTCTTTCACTTTGATGCTCTACATAAACGTTATTAACAGTCTTTGAAATATAAAAAATGACAAAACCTGGAGTTTTACCACAAAATAATGCATATAAAAGACAAAAGAAAGGTGGATTTTTATGCCTACAGATGCAGCAGGGTCTACGAAAACACATTGCTTTAGTCTTTGTCAATAGTTTCAGTAATGATAATAATGATAATAATAAGGCTTTGGTTTTATACAGTGCTTTTCTGGACACTCAATGACGCTGCACATGTTATTACGACCACCATCAATCATTCACACACACGTCAGACTCATTCTAATGTGGGTAAAGTGTGTTGTGTGTTTTAAATACATTTATATTTTCTGTGATTTTTCTGTGATTTTTGATGATGTGTTTGAGCCAGTAGAATTTATTGGAGCGTGTGTTATATTTAGGAATTAGGGAGTGTTTGTCTTTCAGGCAAAAGGAAAGGAATGTCTGGGAGGAGAAGGATGCGATACAAGAGTCCAAGACTGAGACCAGACCAGGACCAGACCAGACCAGACCATGAGTCCGGGACCAGTCCAGATGACGTCAGCGCAGGCACTTCCTGTTTTTCTACATGCTACATTAAACTGTTCTAGTTAGTCAGACACATCGGGTGAGACCGCAGGGATAGCTAAGTCAGAATGGGAGCTCTTGGGTTCTGTATTTAATTGTAAAGATAATTAAATACTGTTAATATCTGGAATCTTGCCTCTCATTTCTCTTTATCAAATCGAAGACACGTCTAGTCTTTTTTAGACAATAGTTGCCAGCAACAGATTGGCACTTTACAGCTGCAGCCGCCCCACTGTGGCACCTGGTGTTCCCAGAGGTCTCCCATCACAGTAGTAACCAGGCCCTGCCCTGCACAGCTCCAGAAGTCTGACAGGATCTGGCTTTTGCATGCAGGTTTGGCTAAAGTTTCATATCAAACAGATAATAAGTTCCTCCACAGTTGATAATTGGATTTAATTTGATTAAAATGTGTGACTGACCTTGCTGCACCTCGACAGACGGAGAGAAATGAATCTGAATCTAAAGTGAGATCTCAGATGAATATGTTATCTCTGAGCAGAGACCAGCCATGACCCTGGATCCAGCAGGTACCATCAGACACAGAGACCATGAAGACACATACATCTGACACAGAGACCATGAAGACACATACATCTGACACAGAGACCATGAAGACACATACATCTGACACAGACCATGAAGACACATACATCTTACACAGAGACCATGAAGACACATATACATCTGACAGAGAGACCATGAAGACACATATACATCTGACACAGAGACCATGTAGACACATACATCTGACACAGAGACCATGAAGACACATACATCTGACACAGAAACCATGAAGACACATACATCTGACACAGAAACCATGAAGACACATACATCTGACACAGAAACCATGAAGACACATACATCTGACACAGAGACCATGAAGACACATACATCTGACACAGAGACCATGAAGACACATACATCTGACACAGAGACCATGAAGACACATATACATCTGACACAGAGACCATGAACACACATACATCTGATACGGAGACCATGTGGACAACACAAAGTTCTAAGACAATGCAATAATAACAAACACAAGATTCAATTCTAATTATTTTTGCACTACTACCACTGCCCTAAATCATTGCCCTCTCAATACATACACAGTCTCTCTATCTCACACACACACACACACACACACACACACACATACACACACACACACACACACACACACACACACACACACACACACACACACACACACACACACACACACACACACACACACACACACACACACACACACACACACACACACACACACGCACACACACACACTACTCTTTCAGATACAGAAAACTGAGGATCAAAGAGATGAGAGCGTTCTGAAGTCTCCAAACCTGCGTCAGGATCAAGACCTGAACATTATAGACCTCCTGCTGTGGATTATCACAGCAGGAGGACAGGGACTGGCCTCCTGCGTGGACTCTGAGAAGCACAGGGACTTGCCTCCTCTTGGGACTCTGAGGAGCACAGGGACTGGCCTCCTGCGTGGACTCTTCTCTCGAGGATTTAAACAAATATTAAGTAATCACTGACATTGTCCTGCTCCCTCTCCTTTGTCTTCATCATAAATATATTGAAATTAATTGAATCTCTCTCATTTCTCTCTTCGATCTCTACAGTGGCACCAGCTGGGAGCCTGAGACTGGGAAACACCGCTCATGGTAAAGTGCCTGTGCCCCTGGTGTGAGACGCACTGTGCAGAGAGACCTCACGTACCTCCTGACGCCCACAACAGACACTGATATTTCTCCGTAAACTCTCCGACTGCAGGTGAAACATCCAGATAAGATAAGATGAACTTTAATGATCTCACAATGAAGAAGTGTACAGGCTCTCAGGGTGTGCAAAAAGACAGGAAGTGTGCAACATGTTAAAAGGTTGAAAATATATTGCCTCTTATGTGCAAATTCTGAGCTTTAACTTCCACCGGGCCTTTAAACAAATGATTAATTTTGTCAGCACCAACATCAGGGACATCGGAAATCCATCTTATGGCACTTTTCCACAGCACCGGCACTACACCACTCTACACGACACGTCACGACCCGGTCGAGTACGCGTGCTTTTCCACATATCTCCATCGGACATCTTCAAGTGGGTGGGCTTTTCATACCACCGCTACCGTTACGTCATTTCCGCTACCGTTACGCCATTTCCGCTACCGTTACGCCATTTCCGCGCGACTCACGAGCATGAAACCAGGAAAAACATTACATCCTCAAACAATGGAGGACTCCGAGCCGATCGTGGTGTTGCTGCTCTCTCTGTGGCTACTAGTCACAAATAGACTGAAAAGCCTGAGAAGAATCCAGGCGGCGAGACACCAAAGAATGACGAAGTTATTGAAAACCTTGCAGGAGTTTGCAGTTGAGGACAGGAGACAACGAGCTGAAAAAAGACGACGTTTGTGGGTAAGCTAATATTGCTATCGCTAGCTTTGTAGCAGCCGTCCTGAACAAAATGGCTGCTGGCTGTCTCTGTAAATCATTAATATGTGTATGCTGTATGTGTGTGTTTCAGATGCTTCTCGGGTTGCGTCGCCGCCGCAAGCCATCGGTGTGGGCCTTAAACCGAGCCTCCGAGTGGTGGGATAATGTAGTCCCAAGCTTCAGCAACACGCAGTGGGTGCAGAATTTCCAAATGTCCAAAGAAACGTTTGATTACCTCTGCACAAAGCTGCGCTTGATTATGGAGCGACAAGACACTACTTACCGGGTATGTGTGCCCCTAAAGAAGAGAGTGGCTATCGCACTCTGGAAACTTGCTACTGGCTCTGAGTACCGAAGCATTGGTCACCTTTTTGGAGTCAGTATAACAACGGTGTGCCGCTGTGTGCAAGACTTTTGTGCTGCAGCAAATGCGGTGTTGGTCCCAGCGCAGATCCGTTGTCCTACAGAGGAGAAATTTAGGGAGATTGCTGCCTACAACGAGAACAGATGGGGGGTCCCACACTGTGTTGGTGCCATTGATGGATCCCACATCCCTATCATGGCTCCACAGGAATGTCATTGTGACTATTTCAACCGCAAAGGGTGGCATTCCATTATTCTCCAAGGTGTGGTTGATGGAAAGGGGTTGTTTTGGAACGTGTTTGCCGGATTGCCTGGGAGCTTGCATGATGCCAGGGTCTTGAGACTCTCTAACTTGTGGGAGTTAGCCTGCCGGGGAAGCCTCTTCCCAGCTCACACAAGAGAAATTGGTGGGGTGACTGCTGGCTATTACCTCCTAGGGGACTCCGCTTACCCCCTGCGGAACTGGCTCCTAAAACCTTTTCAGGACACCGGACGACTGACAGACGAACAGCAACTATTCAACAGAAAATTCAGCAGAGGGCGGGTGGTTGTTGAAAATGCTTTCGGCAGGCTTAAAGGAAGATGGCGCTGTCTTCTGAAAAGGAATGACTCTGACACTGAACTGGTAAAGTCTATGGTGCTGGCTTGTTGTGCTCTGCACAATCTGTGCGAAAACCATGGAGAGACCTACGTGACAGAATGGGACACACCTGTAGCAACAGTTCAGCCTGTGGTAGCAGTGGCACAGGGTGCAGATGAGGGGGGCAGTGATGTTAGGGAGGGTCTGATGCGTCACTTTCTGTCCAATGTCTAAACATTTTGCCTGTTCTGGAACAAGAAATAAACCTTTTTGTATTCAGCAAAAATGCCTTCTATTCATATTTCACTCCTGGGAAAGTACAGGTATTACTCATATAGGTCACATTACAGTCACCACTCACAGAACAGTCGCAGGAATATGCAGATGCTTCCTGGAATACTCACAATGAAGAGCAATAATCCTAAATAAAATCAATATCCAAACAGTTAACCTGGGCCCATTTAAACGCAGAGCTTCTAAAGTTCACTCCCAAAAACAAACTCTATTATGCAAATGACTTACAGGAATTGACACTACCCAACACGATGTCAAGACTTTGCATTTTGTTACTTGTTTTGTCATTGTAACCTTTTGGTGGGATATGCATGTATGTGTTCATGTATATGCAGAGAGCCAATATTGCATATTAATGAAATATTAATTCATACATTTTCAATCATACACCCATTAACCATTCCCACCATTACAAATACCTTTATTCCCTTTCAGATTTGGATCAGCCACTCGCACGTGCACACACACACTCTTTATCGTGCCTTTCTAACCCACTTTCCTAGCTTATTGTATTGTAACCAACACTGTACATTGTCAGTAGTCTGTATTGTTCCCTGTAGGCTCCTCACTCCATGACTGGGAATAAATAAACCTTCTATTCCTAAATTTACCACAATTAAGGATTTACTAGCAACAAATAATGTGAAACCTTTGGTTTGCATGTTAACTGATGTGTACCGAGAAATGAAACCTGTCTTGGAAAAAAATCACACATTTATTTAAAAAAAAAACTATTTAAAGTGCACCAATAAAATTATTTACAGTGTGTCTTGGTGAAGAGTGTCAGTTTCGGCGGCCACTCATGGCTTCCACCAGCTGGCCCAGGAGACCAAGAAATGATTGGTTAAATGCAGCCGCCTGTGCATTTTCCTCCCTCCTCAATGTCGCTTCCAACTCTTGCGACTCTCTGACAAGCTGGAGTTGCTGTGTCCGGTTCAGCTCCTGCTGCACCACATCTTCAGCTTGGATCTGCCTCATCATTTCTACAGTCTCCGTCTGGAAGAGCGCCCTTTTTCTCTTCCCTGTACAACAATAAAAAAAGTTTTAACAGTTGGTAATTATCCAAAGCAGTGACATTTCTGGAGACATACTTTTATGTAGGCAAAAAGATTATTACGTTTCAGACCAGTATATATCACACTACCCGAGATGTTGCAACAACTACCCTTTCAAAGAGGAAAAACCTCCACTAAAAGAAAGTGTTACGTGTGGGATCATTTGACTTAATTGCAAATCGGGTAATGTTTGTTTCACGCTTTGTCAATAAACAATATTTAATGGTCAATGTTTAGGCATTTTAGGACAAAGCATGAGCATGACTTAAATACACCCAGATTAATCAAATCAGTCAGTGCAGCTAAAATTACATTTTGCTGCATTTCTTTTCACACCAAAGTGAAGTGGTATTTTATCACAAATTAGATTTTTTATTTGGAAAAAGATCACTGACAGGTGGTCCGATTCCTTTTTTATTGACATTCATCACCGAGTTGAATGCTATTACTTCTGAGATCCACCAGGTGTCGGTATAGAGCTGCACTGTTGCGGCACAGTATCAATGTAGTTGTATTTTTTTTTTTTTGCTGCTATAGGACATGAATTTCTCCCAGGGTGATGAATAAAATATCTATCGATCATGTATTATGTCTGCCCTGCGCCTTACCCGTGACCACACGCTGTGCGCTGCTAGACGTGTCGCTCGCCATTGAAGGGAACGCATCTCCAGGCGTGGAAGCTGCAGCTGGTTCTGGAGGGATTGGGGACGGGGACCTTGGGGGGTCGTTCGACGCTTCACTTGCGACAAGGGATTCTACAATAAGACAAACACACACAACGACTTAAGTAAAAGCACAAAACTGAATGGCAACACGTGAAATGGCAAGATGTAGCACGTGTTAGCAGCTTGCTATCGATAGCTTAAAGTAGCTAGCTCACTTTGTACAGCAGACAACAATCAAACGTTTACATGAATAAATACATTCCAGTGGGCATTGAGCCACAGGTTACGTGATAATGCATTTTCACAATAACTACAGATAAAAGTTACAAAGCACTTACCATTATCGCCCATTCTCGACGTGGTAGAAGAGTCCAGAGCACACTCCCGTCCATTGTTTGCAGGCCTGTGGCCATAAATGGCATCCATCTTGGCATACCACCTCCAGGTCTTTCGATTGACCCCACTTCGGCCGTTGTGGTCCTTTATGGCCCGGTAATCACACTTCATCTTTTTAATCTTGTCCCTGCACTGCTGATGCGTACGGTGGTAACCGTGTGTGAGCAAGAGCTGGGCGATCTCTTTATAGACCTTCTCATTTCGCGTACTGCCATCGAGCTCCTTCTGTATTCTGTCTTCGGCCAGTAAAGACAGAAATGTTTGGACCTCATCAACAGACCACGGTGTGGACTTTTGCGGCTTGCTGGATTCCATTTCTCGAGTGCAGTGCGTATGCTCACAGGGCAGTTTTAAAAATGGCGGGGTTGAATCTTGTCTCTCAATACGGTCAGACGTCGCACTTATGACGCTACCAGTGACGACAGTCGTTGGCCAATAGTGTGAGAGAGCCGTTGGCCAATAGCGTAGGCAGTCCGCTTACGTCACGAGAGTGTAGCTTTTTGGAACCGCTCCCGAGGCGGTCCGAAAATAGAACACAATACCTAGCTTCAACGCTAGTGGAAATGCAAAAGTAACGCGCCGTGTCGTGTAGAGTGGTGTAGTGCCGGTGCTGTGGAAAAGCGCTATTAAACTGCACCTTGAAGCTTCACACTTTAACGATAGGGAGATTGTGCAGAAAGAAGGTGATTTAGCAACTTTTGGAGGTCGCTGTATAATCCATGTTGCTGGTGAAACTTTGCGGTGACTGTGAGGCTCAGACTTCAAAACTTAAATCCTAACCACATCACACCAACCGTGGATTATGGAGGAAATCCTGGTCTGAGAATTAATTTGTCATATTTGACTGTGACATTAGGAAAGGACAGACCGAGTGTGACATCACCACAGTGAGACATCACCACAGTGTCACATTAGTCTAATTTGAACCTAAGATGGAGCAAGTTTCCTTATATGGGCATTTTTTCGGACAGCTTTGCGCAGA